CAATGAGAAACAATGTCTGTACCGCAACCGAGCTGCCGCTTAACACACGGCAAAGGCTCCGTTTTAAACAGTCAGACATCAAACATATCCATAGCGCTGTCTAAGTTTTGTTAACTTTATATGGAAACGGCAACAGTGACTTCGCATAAGACCAAAAGGGCGTCTTTGAGAAGGCCGATTACTTGAAAGATTACTCTGTGAAGCCTCTATTCACAAGCTTAAAAAATATATGGAGTACGTACACACAACACGCGACAATAACAGCAAGGTTTGCACTTTGTGCTACTAATCACACTGAATTCTTAACAACTATCCAAGTAAATGCAAACTGCGCAACTCTGAAAGGCACTCGCATCACACAACAAAATATGGACACATTTGAGAATTACCCTGTCCTTATTGTTTACAAGCAGACTTATTAGGCGCTTCTCGACTGTTTACGTCGAAACAACACCGGGGATGATTCTATTTCCAACAGAACCGGTGGCTAATACAAATTATTAGATACAAATAGAGGTCCGAAGTAATGGCTTATCGTATCATAGATGACTCTGCCGACAACAGACGCCATTGCAACTCTTGACCTCGAGGTCCGAAGTAATGGCTTATAGTTTTGTGTCGTATCATTGAACCGGTGGCTAATACAAATTATTTTCTTTTTGGGGATTTAATCCGGTACATCCGGGTTCAAGACCGACCTGATGCCACTTTGCCAGCCCTAATAATACAGCACCATACCTTCTCCTTGAAGCAGACTCCAGTGAAACAGATTTACGAGTCGCTGTTTAACTGTCATTATTCGCACGCAACATAAATACGTGAAAATGTTACTTTGAAATCTATGTATTCATAAAGCCAGTTAAAAAGCATAGGTTTTACACTCGTAACAATATTCTTAGATCATGTACTATAACATCTAATTGAAATAAATAATGGCCAATGCATTCAGCAGTGTGTTGACAATGAGTAAAGCTCACTATCCATGTAGCAAAACAATCATCCCACTGGCAACTGTTTACAATCCGGGTAGATATGTACACCTATGAACATATATAACGTGCAATTGTGCAATAAGTTATCTGATTTCTCTTAAAAGCAGTTTAATAGTTACATATCTCCAGCACATTTAAGTCAAAATAAGAATGCGTTGAATCAATTTCCGCCATCCTTTAATCCTTCCATATTGCGCGTGCTCAAACTTTAAATATGAAAACAAAGTAAGGTAAAAGCTTTATTTGAACTTCAGAAATATGCTCAGATACACCCTTAAACGACTAAACTTGATAAATAATTGGCCGTTCGGCAGTAGAATTCTGTTCATTTCTTC